GTGGAGTATCTTAGATGGCTGCTCACAGGCTTTTAAGACCCCAGATGCTACTCACCAAGGTAGAATGTAGAGCATTGTCTTTATAAACTGTGTTATGCCAGTTGAGCTAGATGTTCCCCAAGACATGGTCCCCACTAGCCTTCCACCCAGCAATTCAGTCCCTCAGGGAGTTTGGATGTGTCTATGAAGCTTCCATGACCTTTCCTTGTACAAGTTGTGCTGGTTTCCCCAGTATTGTGTACTGTCTCACCCTTCACCCAAGATACCACTTATCTATTGCCTATTTAGTATTCCCCCCACCACCCTTCCCATCCCTGGTAACCACCAAAGATTGTTACTTTTGGTGTGTAAACTTTTTCATGGGTTTTTACAATAGAGGTCTCATATAATATTTGTCCTTTTGTGATTGACTTATTTCACTCAGCATAATGTTCTCCAGTTTCATCTGTGTTATGAGATGCTTCACAGATTCATCATTGTTCTTTCTCGTTGCATAGTACTCCATTGTGTGTATATACCACAGTTCGTTTATCCATTCATCTGTTGATGGGCATCTGGGTTGTTTCCATCTTTTTGCTATTGTGAACAATGCTGCCATGAACAGAGGTGTGCATATGTCTATTCAAGTGATGACTCATTTCTTTAGGATATATTCCTAGGAGTGGGATTGCTGGATTGTATGGTATTTCTATTTCTAGCTTTTTAAGGAAGCGCCGTATCATTTTCCAAAATGGTTGTATCATTTTGCATTCCCACCAGCAGTGCATAAGAGTTCCGATCTCTACTGTAAATGTTTTAAGATTAGAAACTGTGTTTTTATTTTATTTGGATGCTTTAAGAAAAATTATTTGTATATTCTTAGATTTAAGTACATTCCTTTGGGATAATAAAGCATACTTAACCAACAGCGTTACTGTTTTCATATAGTTTTCCTTTCTTCACAGCACTATGAGATGCTTGCTAATCGAGCTGCTGCAAACGGTCACTGCGTTGATATTTATGCTTGTGCCCTTGATCAAACTGGACTTTTGGAGATGAAGTGTTGCACAAATCTTACTGGGTATGTTGACAGCAAACACTTATCTCTTTCCTTCTTCCAAGGAAAGAGAGAGAAGTGGTGGAGCCATTTCGGTGGGTGAGGCCGACTTGGAGAAGCTTTCAGATACTCTGGGCTGTGGTTTCAGTGGCTGGTGACTATGTTTGGGCCCCTTGGAGGAAGAAGCAGTGATTAGCAGGAGGTCCCAAGTATTCACCAAGAACAGGTCGTATCACAGTAACTTCATTTCTTCCTTAGAGTTATTAGACTTGCACAGTGACCAGGGCAGGAAAGAAAGAAAGCATGGGGTGTCTGGGCTCAGCAAGGCATTTCCTTGTGAGAAGAGGGCGAAATAGGGTCCAGGTGCGAGAGCAATGAGGAGAAGAAGCTTTACCTGGCTAAGTGACCATACCTGGTGACTAATACTGAATGTGCTTTTAGCCTAGCGGGTGCGCTCTCAGCATTGGAGGGTGTGCTGACTCAGAGCCTAAGCGAGCATTGTATTCAGAGATCAGTGTGGAGAGCAGTGGTTCTCAAAGTGTGGTGCCTGGACCAGCAACAGCAGGCCCTCCTGAGAACTTATTAGAAATGCACATTCTCAGGCCTCACCGCAGACTTCCTGCATCAGAAACTCTGGGGAGGCACCCAGTAGTCTGTTTTAACAAGCGCTTCAGGAGATTCTGGTGCACACTAACTTGTGACAACCACAGATGTAGAGCTCTAGTTCTCAAGCCTGGCTACACCCTTGAATCACCTGCAGAACTATAAAAACTACTTTCACTTTGGGTCCTTATTCTCAGAGATTCTGACTTAATTAGCATGCGGTACGACCTGGGCATTGGGATTTTTTATACCCCCACCTCCCTGCCCCTGATTCTAATATAGAGCAAAGTTTGAGGACCACTGGTGTAGATGCTTGGTACTCAAAGTGTAGCTGACAACTCACAGCATCAGCCTCACCTTGGAGCTTGTAGAAATGCAGCATCTTGGGTTTCACCCTAGACCGCCACCAGAACCTGCATTTGAACCGGATCCCCAGGTTATGAGATCGGATGGCAGATTCTTTACGTGTGTGTATTTTTCTGTGTAGAAGGTCTGTCATTGTCATCAGATTGTCAGTGAGGTCTGTGACTCCATAAGACTTAGAACTTAAGTCAAATCACCAGTTGTACAAATACGTTATCAGGAAGATATGTTAGTATTGAAGTACTGACATGAAAAAAATAAAAAAGACTTCCTGGTTTAGTTTATCACTCAAGGTGAGACAGCAGATTGGGATGGTCCAGCAGTGGCTTGGTTCATAGGAGTATGTTATCTTCAAAGAAGACAATAGGCTTAGTCTTCTTGATGCTAGTCATACCATATCCAGATTATATACCATATAATATATACCATATATAATATATACCATATCCAGAAGTAATTAGAAAAGATAAAGCTGAAGACAGATGGGTCATGATAACTATACTCAACAGTTGAAGGACTGTTTTGTGGAGGAGGAATCCGATTTGTTCTGTATGTGACAAAAAGGTAGAACTAGGATCAGTGGGTGGAAACTACTAGGAAACAGAATTTCACTCAGTATAAAGACAGACTTAACAGACCGAGCTGTCCAGACATGGAATGGACTGCTTTTCTGGAGGGAGTAAGATCCCTAATGGAGGAGTCAAGCATAACCTGGACGATAACTTGGCAAGTATGTTGTAGAGGGCATATGAGTAGAATTAGGTTTGTCTCAGTGTTCCAGGAAACCCAAAATATCAGTGGCCTAAAGATGATATAAGTTTATTCTCACTCACTGGAAATAGGTAGCCCAGGTCTAGTTCCTACCTTGCTGCCCCACTATCCTTTATGTGCTATCTGTGGTTCAAGGTGGCTGCTGGAGATCTGTTGTTAAGTACCATTGAGTCGGTTCCAACTCCTAGTGACTCTGTGTATAACTGAACGGAACACTGCCGGGTCCTGTGTCATCCTCACAGTAGTAGATATGTTCGAGCCCATTGTTGCAGCCACTGTGTCAGTCCATCTCCTTGAAGTTCTTCCCTTTTTTTTTGCTGACCCTCTACTAAGCATGATGTCCTTCTCCAGGGATTGTTTCCTCCTGATAGCATATCCAGAGTATGTGAGACTAAGTCTCCCCATCTTTGCTTCTAAGGAACATTCTGGCTGTACTTCTTCCAAGACAGATTTGTTCATTCTTCTGGCAGTCCATGGAATATTCAGTATTCTTCAACACCATAATTTAAATATGTCAATTCTTCAGTCTTCCTTTCTCATTGTCCACCTTTGTACAATGAAAGGCGCACCTTAGTCATTAAGAGACATCTTTGCTTTTTAACACTTTAAAGAGGTCTTTTGCAGCAGATTTGCCCAGTGCAATGCGTTGTTTGATTTTTTGACTACTGCTTCCGTGGGCATCGATTGATGATCAAGTAAAATGAAATCCTGGACAACTTCAGTATTTCCTCTGCTTATCATGATGTTGCTTATTGGTCCAGTTGTGAGGATTTTCATTTTCTTTATGTTGAGGTGTAATCCATACTGAAGGCTGTGGTCTATGATCTTAGTTAAGTGCTTCAAGTCCTCTTCACTTTCAGCAAGCAACGTTGTGTCGTCTGCATACCGCAGGTTGTTAATGAGTCTTCCTCCAGTCCTGATGCCCTGTTGTTCTTCATAAAGTGTAGCTTCTTGGATTATCTGCTCAGCATACAGATTAAACAAGTTTGTTGAAAGGATACAACCCTCTTGCACACCTAGCCTGTTACTGCAGCAGGAAGGCGAAAGGGTCCAAGAAGGACATGCCCCTTCCCTTAACGACACTTCTAACAAATCACTTTCAACAGGCCAGAACTCAGTCACATGACTAATGCAAGACAGACTGGGAAATACAGTGTTTATTCCAGGCAACCATGAATTCCATTACTAAGGAAGAGCAGGAGGGTGAATATTTGGAGTCATCCAGCTGTCCCTGTGATAGGAGGGTCAGACATTCTGAGATAGCTTGACCAGATAATCTTTCTTATGTTCTTTCCAAATTCTGAGGTCCTATTTTATGAATGTTTGATTTAACATGTTTTGGCTAAGATTATTACTGATGAATGTCACTTGCATCAAACTATGTTTCTCTGTCCAAATGTATGAAATGCAGAAGTTTTGAAGAATAATTTTCTCTCACTTCAATAAGTGATGAATGTCAGTATTCATAAATTAGAAGAAATAATTCATGTAAAGTCAAGGATTAAATGTCTTGAGACAGTGAATTAACCTGAAAAGGACTTCCTAAAGGCCTGAGTAATTTCCCATACCAACAAAGTGTGAAAAGAATTGGAGAGAGATTTTCTCAGTAGATAGCCCAATGGGTTTAGTCGATTGAAGGGTTTTAATTTTTGTTCTTTAACTTTTTACTTTGAAGTAATTATGGATTCATAGGAAGTTGCAAAAATAGTACAGAGAAGGGCACCTAGCTTCTCCCAAGAGTAGAATCATACATAAATATTTGATACACTATCCAAAGTAAGAAATTGACATTGGTACATTACAATTAACTATACTCCAGACCTTATTTGGATTTCATAAGTTTTTATGTGCACTCATTTTGTTTTTGTATATGTATATGTATTGTGTGCCATCGAGTTGATTCTGACTCATAGTGACCCTATAGGACAGAGTGGAACTGCCCCATAGGGTTTCCAAGACTGTAATCTTTATGGAAGCAGATTGGAATTCTGTTTTGTTTTCTAAGTACTAATAACACTTGCTGTTTACCATTTAAGGTAGTAACACTTCGACGGGCATGATTTCTTTTTGTTTTTCTTCTTTAAATTATTGTTTGTGAATATTAGAGAGCATCTGAATGGTTTTCAATTGTCCTAAACTTTCACTCTCTCTTCTAGAGGTCACATGGTAATGGGAGATTCGTTCAACACTTCTCTCTTCAAGCAGACATTCCAAAGAATATTTAGTAAAGATTTTAATGGAAATTTCCGAATGGCATTTGGTGCTACTTTGGAAGTAAAGGTATGATGGATTTTAAAAACTTTAATGGAAGAATAGCATTCTGACTTATTTAGTAGTCATGATTCTGGCATCCTCAACCTGTTTGGCACCAGAATCTAGAGGTAAATTAAAAAGAACCCAACTAGGTCTTAAAAGCTAGCAAATGGCCAACAACAATTGGTCTCCATTCACCTGAAGCAACAAGAGAGTCAGAAATTGGAGGAGGAAATCGAGTATATGTCTGATTGCCTTCATGAACAACTGTCTCCTCTGCTGTGAGACCTGAAGAACTGGTTGGGGCCCGGCTACCATTAATGAGTGTTTTCATCAAAGATTCTATAGAAGAATCCTAATCAAAGGGGAAGAACATAAGGACAGAATTTCAAATTATCAGTAGAATCCAGACTTTCTGGAGCCATTGAGGCTGGATGAGCACCTGAAACTGTTGCCCTGAGATAATCTTTAAATTTTAAATCTTAAACCAAAACTATTCCCTGAAGTGTTCTTTGAACCAAAAAATAGTTTAATTAGTAAAGTACATCTACTTTGAGCATTGTGCTCATTTAAAGAATTATCTATGTGAGATCAAATTGACAACAGTAACTTCAAAGGTTGGATGGGAGGCTTAGGGGGCAGTGAGTTTAAGATCATGGTGATGGAAGAATGTGGAAAAGGACAGTGAGAATGGTAGCACAACTTGAAGAATATACCCAGTGTCACTGAATTGTACATGAAGAAATTGTTGAAATGGTGTATCTGACTGGGTATACTTTCACCAAAATAAAATAAATAAATACATAAATTTTTAAAAAGAGCCCAACAAAATAACTATCACAAAGCATATTGATTTTATCCCTGGGCTTCTCAAGGAACACCTACGTTTATTAATGTTCTAAACAAAGCATTCTCTAGGCAGCAGGTGTTAGATAGAAGAGCTGATGTGGGGTGATAGGAATAGCATTGCAGCCTGAAGACAGGCAGCCAGCCACACAGTGGTCAACACTCACCCAGCCATAGGTGTGGGAGACCACATTGAGAGAACCATAGTATATATTTAGCTCATGTCTGAAGGATAGCCAGAGCACTCTAAACTAGTACAGCATTTTGAGGTTTATGCTCTTTTTTTTTTAATGTAGGGACTGATAGCCTTATGCACTTGATTCTAAGTCATTGAGAAAATGTTAAAAGGAGCTGTTAGAAAATATGATTGAAATTATTATTTTGAGATCATCATTAAATCATCCAGGTTCTAATGTTAAACTTTAAATAACATTCTCAAATGTTTGAGATTTGTTTTAAAAAGATGAACGGGAATGGACTTAGTTGAAATGAATTGAAATTTTAAAATGTGTTTATCCTTGTTAATACACTGGAGTTCATCAGTTAAGTATTTTTAAAGGAACACAAAACAGTGCATTCACTGATTAAAAACCAAAACACCAAACCCATTGCCATCGAGTTGATTCCAACTCATAGCGACCTTATGAGACAGAGTAGAGCTGTCCCATAGGGTTTCCAAGATGCAGCTGGTAGATCTAACTGCCTGCTTTTTGGTTAGCAGCTGTAACTCTTAACCACTGCACCACTAGGGCTCCGATCACTGATACGTAAATAATTACGGATATGTATGTGGGATTGGAAAAGAATGTAGTATTGGTAGAATTGTTATCTCCTATGTATATAATAACTTCAAAGTTGAGAAAGTTGAAAATGCTGTGTCATCTTTGGAACAAAGACAACATAGTTAATAAAGCAGGATTTAATTAAAACTTTCATTGGTTCACAGTGGCCCTGGAGAAGCGTGTAGGAGAGTAGCTGTACCCTATAATCCACGTGAGATTTTCTCTTGGTGGAACGATAGCACTGCTGTATTTTTCCTCTCAGCTTTAGTTGGGGCTATCATGAGAGCAGGGAGGTTCTCAGAGATATCTTAACCTTACACTCATGTAATTTTGTTTTAGACCTCTCGGGAACTGAAGATCGCAGGAGCCATTGGTCCATGTGTATCTCTGAATGTGAAAGGACCATGTGTGTCAGAAAACGTAAGGAGAACTACATCACCGTCATCAACTGTGCTCCAGGTTTTAATCCGTTAGAAGTGTAGGAGCGTGGCAATCTTGCACTGTGTTACCTGTTTGCACGTGTCTATGTGAGGGGGGAATGGTAAATTCTTACTGAAGACCGTGACTCTAAAGGGGGTGTCATTTCTTTCTGTCTCGCCATCTGTCTGCAGGCTCGGAGAGTGGGAAACTGAGGCTCAGAGGGGTTAGCTGTCTTGCTCAGGGTCAGAGTTGGCATGGAGGAGCTAGAGCCCAAGTCCCTCTGACCACACCATCAATCTTGGGGTCACTGTGCCAAAGAGCTACACGGCATTTCATCAGCAAAATGCTTCCGGGAATAAACCTATGCGGTCATCACCCTTAGAGGTGATACCCTCTCACTTATCATCACTTTTAATAATGAGCCTTATGTGACTGAGACCACCTAATGTTGTTTGAGTAACAAATTTTGAGTATATGTGAACAAAGTTTTGTTATCACTTGGGGATGAGGTGGCCCACTTTCTCTAATTATGCCTTCACTGCCAAGAGGCAAACCATTTGTCCAGGTGAGGCCTCTTCAGGGTGATTCCAGGCTGGGGTTACCGTGGTCGTGTCCTTTCCTCATTGTCATCAGTGAGAGTTGGTGTATGAATAGAGGTGAAGAGTGGGGACTGTAGAGCCAGTCTTGGGTTCAGTCTGAGTGCTACCATTTGCTAGCCGCTGGCTTTTTGCCTTTGACAAGGTACTTAATTGGTCTGTGATTCAGTTTCTTTATCTGGCAAAAACAGACAAAAAACCAGTTGCCTTTGAGTCTGTTCTGATTTGTGACTCCATGTGTGTCAGAGTAGAACTGTGCTGCATAGAGTTTTTTAGTGGCTGATTTTTCAGAAGTAGATCACCAGGCCTTTCTTCCAGGGTGCTTCTGGGTGGACTCACAGCTCCTACCTTTTGGTTAGCAGCTGAGTGCATTAACTGTTTGCACAACCCAGTTTGGTTTATCTGGCAAATGGGGATACTAACGTACCTACCTTATAGCATTGTTAGTTGGGAGGATTAAACAGGTGAATTCAGGTAAATCACTAAGAATAGTGCCTGGCACAGTGGGAGCCCACAGTGCACACCATCTTTCATGTTATCATTTTTTAAATCTGCAGCAAACATTTACTCGTTACTACTTAAACTTTTGTAGAGATTGGCAGAAATGAGGTGATTTGAGACAACATTATTGTAGCCTCTTGGCTAAGGCAGGAAACCCTCGTGGTGTAGTGGTTAACCAAAAGGTCAGCAATTCGCATCCACAAGCCACTCCTTGGAAACCCTACGGGACAGTTCTGCTCTGTCCTATAGGGTCACTATGAGTTGGAATCGACTCAATGGCAGTGAGTTTGGCTTTTTTTGGTTTTGGCTAAGGTAAGTTTCTACCCCAGGGGTCATCTGAGTCACTCATGACTACCTCAGAGTTTTAAGGGGCTTGTACCCCCTGTTCATGGCATGGCTTTGGAAAGCTGCCCTAATCGAAAATGTTTTGCTACAGTCCTTAAAATCTACCAGTTGAAGCCTTCTTTTTAATGAATGAGTATAAACTGATTAGCTAGTTCTAGGATCTAGTAGGGACCAGCCATGAATGTTTTGGTTGGGGGATGGGGGATGTAGAGAGGCGGAAAATACAATTTTCAAACATGCAGAGAAGTTTGAAGAAGAGTATAGTGAGTTCTTGCATACTCAGCATCTAGAGTCAGCAGTGTTAACTTTTTGCCACGATTGTTCTCTTTTTTTTTTTGCCACATTTGCTTTATCTCTTAATCGTCTGTTTGCCGTATTTGCTTTATCGTCTCCTTTTACAGAACCTTTGAAAGTAAGTTGCAGATACCATGACACTTTGTCTTTAAGTACTTCAGTATGCACTTTCGAAAAATAAGGATGTTCTCCTACCACGATCTCATTATCAAATCTAAGAAAATTAACAGTGATTTCCTAACGTCGTCTAATGTCTAGTCTGTATATTCTTTTCCTAATTTTCCCCCAAATGGCCTTTCTAGCTGTTTTTTCCCCCAGCTAGCATGGCATTTGGTGTCATTTATCCTTAATTTTTTTCATTCTACAATGGTCCACCTATCTTTTTATTTGTTGCTTTCTTCCCCATGACATTGATTGTTGAACACACAGTGCCAGGTGTCTCCTGTAATAAGGTGGCCCGCATTCTGGATGTGTCCAGTTGTTACCTCCTGGTAGTATTTAACTTGTTTCCTATATTTCCTGTAAACCGGAAGTTAGGTTCAGAGGTTACTTTGTTTTATGTTACAGCAGGAGGCACTTAATGTCTGGTCGTCCCATGGTGGTGGTACTAAGATCACGGTTAACGTGATGGTTGTCCCACATCTTTCCATTGTAAAGGCACATTTCCCTTTGCCATTAGCTATGAGATTTTGGCACAGTATGAATATCTTTGCCAACAGCCTTTCATCTTTAGCATCCATTGATTATCCTTCCTTGAATCAGTTTATTCCGTTGGAGATTGTAAAATGGTGATTTCCTAGTTCTGTCATTGCAGCTACTCTGATAAAGTCAGGGTAAATGCTTAAGTAAGGAATTTGTGTATTGGTGAGAAAATGTCATTTTGGAACTCTGGAAGGTTTGTAGCTGTGCCATGCTGTGCTGTGCCTTGGTGCCTAGAGAAGAAAGGTGATGGGAAACAAGCCTCTTTACCTCTTTGCTATTGTTATTGAGTGTAAACCCTTCACCTTCCAACAGATGTTAAATACCTTCTTCTCTTAGAAAAGCTGACTAAAAGGAAGGAGAACACCCTAGAAGCCATCCTTCTCATGATCTTGCTTAATTAGGAAGCACTGATGAAACAGTGCACCTTCCACTGTCTGCCTCTCAGGACTGCTCTATGGTTCCACTTAGGGACCTGCCCCCTCCCCTCTGACCGTTGTTCTCCTCAGATTGCTCGTCTGTGGCCAGACACGCAGCCCCCGCCATGGTTTTGTAGATACCAGATGGGTGTCAGCTGCCCTCCACTTCCAGTGTGCAGTTAGGGTGGATTGTGGAGTAATGTAGAAGAAATACCGTGGCTCTCAGTGCATAATCACATCATTTTCTAAGCACAGTCCTTTGATGAGGTGTCTCAGAATGTGTAACACTCAGTGTTTCTGGAATGATAGAATGTGTGTTTCAGAATCTAGTGATCTTGATGGTTGGTGGTTCTAGTAGTTTTGACACTTGTGGTGTTTTCTTCTAGGTGTCATGGCTAAAATAGTGATGCTATCATTTCTATTTTCATGAACCTCAAATTTGTCACTGGGGACCCATGTAGCTAGTCAATACAAAACAACCTACACGCCACTAAAAATCCCTCACTTCTTTTACTGAGAATTCATATGTAGCTTTTGCATAAAGGAATTTGATTAAAAATTAATATAGCCAACACACTGTAACTGTTTTTTTTTTCCTTAATAATGATGAAAGAACTAAAAACTTTCAAGCTAAGTAGGTAATGCTCAGTTTTTTCCTACTATTTACTTCTCCAACCGAGTTGATTCTTTCAGTTCACCGCAGTATTAGGTACTGTGTGTGTGTGTGTGTGTGTGTGTGTGTGTGTGTGTGTGTGTGTATGTGTGTATACATATTGTATGTATACCAATACATATATATATATTTGTATGTACATATATATATTTTGTGTGATGTGAAAATTAGAGTGCCAATATCAAAAGCTGTCTGCCTGTTATTATACTTTTTCAAGTAAACATTTCAGTTAAATTTAAATTTTCATCTAGAATGAGATAGTCTAGTGGCCTGTCCCACTCAGTCATTTTCAGCAGGGGTGGTCTTTGTTCTGTTTTTTTCTCCTTCCTCCTCTCACCCAGGAGCTCGGTGTCGGTGGTACGAGTCAGTGGAAGGTCTGTGGCCTGGATCCCACATCAACGCTCGGCGTCTACTTCGAAGTAGTCAACCAGGTGAGTTGGATTCCTTGAGTGTGTTCATGTCTTAGTGTCGTGTTTCCTAGTTCATTACAAACTGGTGGCCCCTGGTTACTTTCTCCACAGATGGATGGGGCCTTAGGATTGCATTAGGCCTGATGCCAGGCTGACATTGTCTTTTTTATTCCTTCCACGGCTTCATCAGTCAGACAGCAAATTGCCTTTGTCACTTTATTGTTGAACTGGCAAGGTCATTTAAAGACCAATACACATTTACAGCCCTCATAATGTTGGTGAATTTTTTAGTGTATCACATTTATTCCCCAGTATTTTATTACGAAAACTTTGGAACGGACAGAAAAATTGAAAGAATTATACAGTGAACACCCATGTACCCACCACTTATGTTCCACAGTTAACATTTTGCTGTATTTGCTTTGTCACATATCTGTCCATCCATCAATCCATCCTGAGTGTGCCATTCAAAACGCATCTCCCGGTGTAAGCGAGGCCCCAGTCAAGAACATGACCATCACCTTTGTGTCAGTTGTTTTAGGAAGAACACACCCAGGCTCTGGGGAGACTTTGTGTTTGCACCATGTCTGTAACAGTAACACCGTGTGTGGGCTCTTTCTGCAGCACAATGCCCCGATCCCCCAAGGAGGCAGAGGAGCCATCCAGTTTGTTACGCAGTATCAACACTCCAGCACCCAGAGACGCATCCGGGTTACCACCATCGCCCGAAAGTGAGCAGTCCCCTGTTTTTCCTCTCTGTTGAGCCAATGACACGTTTTTCCTCTGAAGAGAGATTTTAACATCAGTTAGTTGGTCTTTATAATCCCATTGAATGAATGGTTTTTACCAGTCCTCGCTGGTTCTTTTGACTTGAGGCGGAGGAGGCGTTGGTTGGCCAACCAAGTTGGGCATGTGGATACTTGCCTAGAGGAATCTTCTTTCAGTAGGAATACAGTTGATTAAAAATTTTTTTTGTGATTTTATTTGTTATATAAGTAACTTGTAAGCACATCCTCCTTCTTGCAGGAAGAATGGGTCTTTTCACTCATTCTCCCCAGAAGTAAATGCTACTACTGTACTGGCATTTAACTTTACAGTCTACTTTCTATACAGTTATATACTGTGTGTGTGCATGTAGGTATGTATGTGTGTACACGTGTATGACATATAATGTATGTATGTGTGTGATGTATGTGTGTGTGTATATGTGTAGATATATACACGTACTTTTTTTCTTACATTAATGGGATCATATATGTTTTGTTCTTCAATTTACTTTTCTCAATAATGAGCCAAGGACACCTTTCTATGCCAACACATGTAAGACTATAGCTCATTCATTTTAATGAGTACATAATAGTGCATGGTTTAATGTACCACTCATTAAAGGACATTTCAGGTTGCTTCTTTCTTCCTGTCTCCCTGCCTCCTTCCCTTCACTGCTGTGTTTTTACATTTAGGTCTTCGTGTATGCTAGTATTTCTTTTTTTTTTTTTGTAATTAAATGAAGTTTACATTTCAAGTTAGTCTCCCATACAAAATTTTTTTTTTTTTTTTACATACGTTGTTATGAGAGCCTAACTGCTCACCCCGTTCTGCGACAGCACACTCCTCCTTTCTGCCCCGATTCCCCATGACCATTCAACCAGCTCCTAACTCTCTCTGCCCTCCCATTTCACCTCTGGACAGAAGCTGCCCCTTTGGTCTCTTGTATCTACTTGACTAAGAGGCATACTCTTCACGAGTATCACTTTATGTCCCACAGTCCAGTCCAATCCCTATCTGAAGAGTTGGCCTCGCAGTTGTTTTAGTTCTGGGCTGATAGAGAGTCCAGGGGCTATGCTTTCTGGGGCACCTCCAGTCTCAGTCAGACCATTAAGTCTGGTCTTCTTACTAGAATTTGAGTTTTGCACCCCATCCTTCTACTGCTCCATCTGGGACCCTCTGTTGTGTTCCCTGTCAGGACGTTCATTGGTGGTAGCCGGGTACCATCTAGTTCTTCTGGTCTCAGGCTGATGAAGTCTCTGGTTTATGTGGCCCATTCTGTCTCTTGGGCTAATACTTCCCTTGTGTCTTTGGTGTTCTTCGTTCTCCTTTACTCCAAGTGGTTGAGACCAATTGATGCATCTTAGACGGCCGGTTGCAAGCTTTTAAGACCCCAGACACCACTGACCAAAGTCGGATGCATAATGTTTTCTTAATGAGCTTTGTTACTCCAGTTGACCTAGATGTCCCTTGAAAGCATGGTCCCCAGACCCCCTACCCCTGATACTCTGTCTCTCAAAGTATTAGACTGTATTCAGGAAACTTCTTAGCTTTGGTTTAGTCCAGTTGTGCTGACTTCCCATATAGTGTGTGTTGTCCTTCCCAAGATGATTCTTACCTACTATCTAGTTAGTAAATAACCCTCACCCTCCCTCCCCACCCCCGTAACCATCAAAGAATGTTTTCTTCTGTGTTTAAACCTTTTCTTGAGTTCTTATAATAGTGGTCTTATATAGTATTTGTCCTTCTGTGACTGACTAAATTCACACAGCATAATAAGTTCCAGCTTCCACCATGTTATACAATGTTTCACATATGCTAGTATTTCTTGACAGCTACTTCTGTATACTGCGAAACTCCTCTCCTGAGATGCTAATTTGTGTTCTCTCCAACAGTGTAAGGAGAGTGCCCTGTCTCCTCATTAACAATGGATATTATCGATTTTTAAAATGCAAATATAGAGCAGTATCTTCCTTCATGTTTTCCCATTTATAAATGGATTAAGCACTTTTTCATGAGGATTGGCCAACTGTATTTCTTCTGTCATAACCTTTGCCCATTTTATAAAACTGATTTTTCTTTCTTTTTCATTGATTTGCAGGGATTCTATGTATTCTGGATATTGTGTCTTTATTCATCTGGAATACTTTCATATACGTGCTAGTTCTTTTTACCATGGATGTGATGATGGGAAGTCATTTTGTGAATTTGTAAACATTTAGATTTTTGTAAGATTGACCTAGAGGAAGGAACACTGCATGGGGACTTAGGTACCTTTTGGTATCTACCTTCATGGTCTCCTCTGGAACATAAGAAAGTTCTCCTCTATGATTTTTCTTTTGAGGCTATAGCCTTCAGAGACCGGAGGGTAAATTGTGTATAAAATTTACATTAACAAGCCCTGCCTTCTTCTGTCCCATTAGCCTATCTAGTCTTTTTAAAAGATATGATTCACAGCTTACTTCCCACAGGAAGTGATTCTTTACAGAAATGCAGTTCAGATATGTTTTGTCTTAGATAAAGGAACAGTGTTTGTTTCTTTATCTAAATGTTGCTGTGTCTTTCTCGCTGCTCCTGCAGCTAAGTGTAGCACTAACTCTGGAATTGTCAGTTGGGCAGATGCACAGAGTCAGCTCAGGCACATCGAAGCAGCGTTTGACCAGGAGGCTGCGGCAGTATTGATGGCACGGCTTGGCGTGTTCCGAGCGGAGTCGGAGGAGGGGCCTGATGTGCTCCGGTGGCTGGACCGACAACTCATCCGACTGGTAAATTGGGGAAAATGACTTTTAAGTTCAGTCTCGGTCTCTGCACTATTTTTTTTTTCTTTTCTCCGAGTTCTGCACTACTTTTGTGAAAAGAAAATTGTCACTTAAACCTATATTTTATACAGTCAGTCAGCAAGAATTTATGAGTTGCTTACCTTATGCCAAAAACTGGACATTCTGAGAGTGATATAAAAGAAGTGTTAAATGTACATTTTCTTTCCAAGGGCTTACATTATATTTGGGAAGAAACAAATAGAACATTTGCAGAATGGTGTAAATCTGCATGTTGGGAGTTGAATTGGACAAGTCACTTTGTGAATGCCGTGGTGCTGTATTTTCCCTCCAGGCTGGGAGGTGTTCCTTGAGAATTCGACTCCACGGCTCAGTGAGTTTACCGGAAGGCCTCTTGTGTCAGCCTGGATCTAACCAGGAGAGACAAACCACAGAGTAATTTTAACAGAGAATTTAAACAGTGAAGAATTCCTACAACAGGGGATTTGACTAATGAGAACTGGCTAGTAAGAAGTAAGGATAACTCTAGAGAATGTAGGAGTAGCAGGTGTAAGGGGCAGCCATAGTCCTCGGACTGAGGCAGACCCCCAAGGAGGCGCCTCTCTTCCCTCTGGGCAGCTCCAGGCCTTTTTGGGAGGGTGTGGTCATGGCTCACTGAGTGGCCGAGAAGCTGCCGTGGTGCCGTACCAGAGGAACTTGTTAGGAATTCGCCCTCTAGAACTTGCTGAAAATCCACCCTCTGGGGTGCTGAGGAAAGCTCTTCATGGGGAATTGTCTCACAGAGCACATGGGGGGTGCTCCCAGGCACCCCAGGAGTTGGGTGCTGGGGAGGCTGCTGAGCAAGTGCACTAGAACCAGAAGCGCTGTCTTTCCAGCACCCTCTATTGATAAAACGTAACGTTGTGCTAGCTGGAGAAGGAAACATCATTCCAAAAAAAGGGAAAGAGCCTAGACCCATTTCACAGCAGACAAAGCAGGTGAGCGGCAATAACTCAGTAATTGACACACCACACAATCTGACTTTCAGGAGACGCTCAGCATGTATTCATAATCAAAGGCACTGAAAAGCCCATAAGGAAGACTGTTTAACTTTGCTTAACCCTGTGTTTCCCCTCGCCTCATGGAACCATTTATTTTAGGGAACATCAACATCTGAAACACAATTTGAAAATTGCACCTCTAGTATTTCAAAGGGAAGACAGATCCGCAGAGCATCAAAGTGGTTGGCAAAGGCTTCCTCTGGGAAGTGAGCCGTGAATCAAATCTTTTATGAAGAAGAGATAGGCTAATGGCACAGGAGACGGCAGGGCTTGCTAGGTGGTGGGCGTGGCACAAGCCTAGGGAGGTTGCAGTGCACTGTGGCTTGTGCTAGGGCCATTGAAGAGAACAGTGTCCCTGGATTCAGGGTGTGCATTGGAGAGTACGGCTTGATCATGGAATGCCTTCCCTTTAAAGTTAAGTCTCTGCCTTACCGTTAGAGACCTAGCTGCTGATTCCTAAGCAGGGATGTGACATTAGCAATAAGCCTGTGTTTACATTTAACATCCCTATAGAAGATAAGTTGGCGGGAGAAAGGCTCCTGCTAGGGAGACTGATGGAGCATTTTAGAGGGCCAGGTTCGCTGAACCAGGGTAGTGGCAGTAGAAATGGGTGGAGGAGGGAGGGTTTGGAATCAGGATGTGCATGGAGAGAAGAATTCATAAAACTTGTTGAAATGACTGTATGTGGAATCAGAAAACAAAAAGTCAGTGTTGACTCAAGTTTCTGGTGTGGACGACTGCGGGAATGACGGTGTTGACAAAGGTAGAAAATGGGAAAGGAGAGCAAGCAACTTGAGGGTGGGAGGAGGTTGATAGTTTTTGTTGTTGTTTATTTTTGATAAGTTGAATGTGAACTTTCAAAAGTATGTCTGTCCAAGGTGGAAGTCCAGGATGGGAGTTCAGGTTGGAGGTCAGCACTGGACATGGAGGTGGGGGGGTATTTGGATGACACTAGACTGCCTCTAACGTTCATTTGTAGCCAAGGCAATGAGAATGGGAGCAGGGGGCCGAGGACTAATCTCTGAGGAATCCACGGTTAGGAGGAGGGAGAAAGATGAGGAACCGTTGAGGAAGGCAGAGAATGGTTGGTTGGCGAGATGGCAAGAAATAGGAAAGTGATAGCAGCTGAAGGAGAGTTTCAAGAAGTTTGGGGAGCCACTTGGCTCATGCTGCTAGAGAGTTCAAGAAGATGAGACATCTTCTGAATCTAAAGCGATATTAGATTTGGTAGGAAGAAGTTATACAGCCTAATTCTGTAGTGGCTGGAAGAAATGTGTGATCGGAAATAAAGACAGGAAGAGAAAATATCGCGGTTCAAAAATGTGCAACTGAAAGGAGGAAGAAATAAATTGAGTTAGAGAACATCGAGATTTATCTGTAATCGCCTGTATCTCGTGGTCTTAGAGGCTTCTCCGATGGAGGAGGCCGAGAGAGACTGCACCTAGCGCCTCGCTGCTTAGAGCAGTCCTAGGACCAGCATGTCTGGAGCATACTGGAAATGCAGAAATTCCAGCCCCTCTCCAGGTCTGCCAGATCAGAATCTGCATTGTAACAACACCCCCAGGTGGTTTATCTGCCTGGTCATGCTTGAGGGGTGCTGGTCTGGAATACACAGTTAGTAAATGACAGAGTTGAGATTTGAATGTAGCTCTCTTACTCTAAGGATTTGTCCAGTGACACGAACTTAGTTTTTGTTTTGTTTTGTTTTCAACAGTGTCAGAAGTTTGGCCAGTATAACAAAGAAGACCCCACTTCTTTTAGGTTATCAGATTCCTTTTCCCTGTATCCTCAGGTAAGCGATATGTGTTTTTTAAGTAACTGTGAAAGACAGCTTATGATTGAAATAAACCTCACTGTTGTAAGGGTAAAGTGAAGACTTCATGTTTTGAGGCTCACTCTATAGGTGATGAAGGTCACTGAATTTAAGACACATATTGTGTCTCTGTGCAAGACAGGACCTTAAGCCCTACAGAAGACAAAGATGAGGAAACACTGCTTCTGACATGCAGACAAGAGAAAATAAGTGCATAAATTTTCATAAAAAAGCAAAATGGAATTATTGCCGTAAGGTCATGAATAAAATCTCTAATTTGCAAATGTTCAGGGTACACAGACAGCTACCTCAGCAACACAGCAAGAAAGTTAAGTACACCTGAAGATGAATATAGCAAGACAAACCACAGTTAATGTGATAAATATTTAATAGTATGCCCAGTGGTTTTATGCTGCCTCATAAGTAAGACTCAGAAAACCAAGCATTCGGGAGCTATTGAACAAGGGGAAGGAGGGAGAGAAGTGGATAGAGCCCTGGGTGGAGTCGTGAATCTGTGTATTTTCTGAACCTCCATCCTTATTTACGAGCGAGGAAATAGAGCTTAGCTCCTCGGGTGGCTGTGAGGGCTGCATGCACTCAGTCAGGTCATGTAATTAGCATGGTGTCAGGCACCTTCAAGCGCTTTGTAAATGTGAGCCAACTCCACAGTCCCTAGGACTCAGGCTTCTCAGACATGATGTTCTCAGAGATGGAAGCAAACTCAAATTTTTTTCCCTTCCCTCAGAGGAATAAATAGAAAGAAGCAAAACCTTTGTTTTCAGTTTTTAAATTTTTATTGTGATGAAATACATGTAACAAAACATTTCAGCCATTTTTATGTGTACAATTCAGTGACGTTAACTACATTCACAGTGTTGTATAATAGTCACCTCTACAAAACTCGGTTTTAAATAAACTTGCGAGAAGTTAGATATCCAAATGTGTATTGTCCTTTAGAATGCTCACTTTGGAAAGTGTACTCAGATTTCACTTATGAACTTGTATGGTTCAGACTGTCAGGATTAGAAGGGACTTCAGAGGTCACCTCACTTGACTCCTGACCCAGCCTGGGGTTCCCGGGGTCCCTGACTTGCACCCCTCCAGCCCCTGCCTGAGCAGTTGAGACAGTGTGGTGTTGTGGACAGAGCCTTGGACTGGCTGGAGTCAGAGGACTGAGTTCCAGCCTTGACTCTCCCACTGCTGATCTTGGATGAGGTCCTGAACCCCTGGGATTTTGGTTTCCTCTTGTTTAGAAAGAAGGAGTTGGCCTTCCCTCAAAAGCCAACATGTGAAGTAGACAGACTTGGTGCCGCTCTAGTCACACAAAGGATGGAGGCCCCTGGTCCTGCCCACACAGCAGCCTGGCTTCCCTGGTCTTGCCCACGCAGCAGCCTGGCTTCCCTGCTCCTGCCCACGCAGCAGCCTGGCTTCCCTGCTCCTGCCCACGCAGCAGCCTGGCTTCCCTGGTTCTGCCCACGCACCAGCCTGGCTTCCCTGGTCCTGCCCACGCACCAGCCTGGCTTCCCTGGTCCTGCCCACGCAGCAGCTTGCCTTCCCTGGTCTTGCCATGGCCCCTCTCCCCCAGGGCACTGAGGATTTGCTAGGACTCTGAGCGCAGACAGTTTGAAAACCACCAAATGAGATAGTTTCTCAGATTTGTCTTGTGGTGGAGGCATTCTGGGATAGTGGTTAAGAGCCAGTCTCTGGAGCCAGACAGCCTGGGCTAGTGTCCTGGCTCTGCCACTCAGTAGCTGGATGACCTCGGGCAAGTTGCTTACCCCTCTGTGCCTCAGTTTCCTGACCTATAAGAACCTGCCTCACAAGCTTATTGGAAGGATTAAATAATTCTTGTCAAGTACTTAGATAGGTTAGTGCCTTGCACGTAAGGTGCATTAAACGTAAGCCATTGTTATTGTTTAAGAACATATGATTTAATATTTGGAGTCTCAGGAAGCTTTATAGTTCTCAAAGCAGCTTGTTTTCATGTTCTGGCAACTCTATAGAGTGAACTAAAAGCCTTTCCCTTTGCTACCCCCTCCCCCGCCCTTCTGTCAGCTAGAGATAACATGGAAAAAGATTAATTCTTCTCCAAAATAAAACTTCGTGTCTCTGAGAATAGCTAATATATTCTCACCAAATCTCTTTTCTAAGCTGTTTATCTGTCCTTCATATGAACTGGTTTCTTGACTCTTCACCACTGAAAATACTGTTCCTAGAACTGAACTCAATATTCATGACTGGGACTGACCAGTGAAAAAGACTGTATTTCCAGAATTTGCCCATATTCTAGAAATACAGTCCTTGCTGTGTTTCCTGCACCCTTCATCCCTGCTGCTCCTGCTCTAGCTCAGGCCTCCTCATTTCTCACCCGGCAGCAGGCAGGCAGGCAGCCAGCACACTTTCCGAGCACCCCCATGTCAGACAGTATTCTAGATAGCGTGGATGGTATGCCTGCAAGTCAGGTAAGGCTGCTGATCTCATGGAGCTTAGAAGTAAAAAATCAGATAATTTTAAATAGTGGTAAAAATAGGTTTTTGAGATAGTGACCTGGGCCGAGCAACCACATTAGGTGTGGGGGAGGGCAGAAGTCAGGGTAGACCCAGTGATGGGAAGGAGCCAGCCATCAGGGCCGTGGGGCACTCCAGGCAAAAGAAACGGCAGGTGCAAAGGCCTTGAGGCAGGACCAGCCTGGCATGTTGAAGGCATGGAAAGAACTATGATTGTAACATAGTAGATGCAGCCAGCCTTCTGTCGGGCCCATCACATCCATTCTCCACCCGGCAGCTAAAGAGAGTTTTTCAAGGAACAGTTTGATCCTGTCACTGCTTAAAATCCTTGAGGACCTGCCTCCCCTACCTTCTAACCCTCACAGTAAAGAACACCCCTTTCCAGTGTTGTTACTTGCTCCTCGCTCCCTTACACCCCTCCCTCCAGCCTGCCAGCAGCCTGTGTCCTGAGCTTTCCAGCTGCTCACTTGCTGTTACCACTCCAGTGCCTTGTGTTCCCCCTTCTCTCTGGCCCTCTGGCCTCCTCATACATGTCTTTCAGGGTGTATCCTCAGACCCCAGTGGCTTTGGGAAGCCTCTCCTGCTGCCCCTCTGCTCTCCCCCAACCACACCCCAGTAGTGCTTTCCTGTACCGTGGCTCCTGTCCTGCCGCCTTGGGTGTGCCTTTCCCTACTGGACTATAACCTCTCTGGGAGCAGACATTCTGTCTGCACAGCCTGGCCCATGACTCCAGAAATGTTTCTTTGCTTCCACCCCTTACTTCACGTATAGGGCTCTGACGTACGCAGAGGCCTTTTTCTCAAAGATTGGGTCTTCGTGTTTGAGAGACCTGAGGTAGGTCTACTCTCTGGATGTCTAAGAAGGTTGCAAGTATATGCATTTGTCTTTTTTTGTTTTTTGTTTTTCCTCGTAAATGCAGTTCATGTTCCATCTTAGAAGATCTCCGTTCCTTCAAGTGTTCAACAACAGTCCTGATGAGTCGTCGTACTATAGGCACCATTTTGCCCGACAGGATCTGACCCAGTCCCTTATCATGATCCAGCCCATTCTTTACTCGTATTCGTTCCATGGGCCACCAGAGGTAGGTTTTGCAGGAATTCTCTGACAGTTAGGATCACCTGATACACAATTTTTTCTAACAAATTTACTTTTAGAAAAAAACTGTAAAAAATGAAAACTTTGAGTATAGTAATTTTTAAAATGTGCGTAGGAAAAAGTCAAAGGACATGTAAAACTATTATCTGTGGAAAGCCTGATTACATGTACAATTTTTTTCAAAATTTGTAGGTACTTCTTTACAGTGTGTTCATATAATGTGACCCAGTATTCCATGTCTTGTAATGTATCTGAAGGGAATATTCCTAGATACAGAAAAATCTTTGTGCACAGAAACAGTACATGAACTAATGGAGAGTTAGAAAACAATCCAAATGTTCGATAGTATTTACAAAGTTTAGGTAACTATGAAATAGAGAAATCCTCATGTAAAAATATTATGTGGAAAAATCAAAATATAAGCTTTTCTAAATTGTGTTCTAAAAAGCCTGCAAGAATAAAAAAATAACGTGGAGATAAACCAAAGTTATCAATATTTGTTGTGCTTAGGTACAAATTTTCAAATATTCTTTGATGAGTATGAGTTTTATTACTACTATTTTTGGTAGTAAACTTTAAAAACATCTTCATAGCTATTCTTTTTTATATAGACATGCCTATTCTCATCTACAGCTGTAGTAGATTTGAGAGCAGATTTCTCTGGTAGATAAGATACATTTCAAGCACAAAACTGAGAATGGTTGGAATTATTTCTGGTTCCTAGAGCAGAAGATGATACTGATCTCCCTTCACAAATGATCAGGGATAATTTGGAGCCTCTTTCTCCTGTGAAGCTGAGACTTAATACTCCCGAGGAAGGGGGCAAAAAGTAGGAGTGTGGCATAAAGAGGTGGGAGCGACCGGCTGGGGCTGCTTGTAAACATTTGTAAAACTGTGGCTGGTTCTGTGGACATCCAGAGTGGACACCTGGGTGGGCACTGGAGTGGCCATCACGAGGACAGGGCACAGAGGGAAGACCAACCTGTCTCTTGCTCCCTTTTTCTTCAGCCAGTCCTCTTGGACAGCAGCAGCATCCTAGCTGACAGGATTTTGCTGATGGATACTTTCTTCCAGATTGTCATCTATCTTGGTGAGGTAAGATGCTATTCTTAATGCCTTTCCTTAATACTGTGGTTGGTTTCTTCTTACTGATTTAGGTTTTTATAACATTTGAAGCAAGAATTTAGGCTTAGAGAGCCCACAGTTTCTTACAGTGAGTCCCCTGGCTTTTTTCTAATGAGTAAAATCCTTTTTCAAGTCTATGGGGTATTTACATATGTAGTAATTTTAATAGTATTTACTGTAAGCAGATCTCACATGATGCTTTTAAATCACTGTAATCACTATAATTACTTTCTAAGCTGTCAGGAAAGATCGGCTTTTCCTTCCTCAGTGAACTTTTATACACGCTACTATCTTGTCCTTTCAGAGTTACATTGGACATAAACACTAGTAAGTTTGTGGCTAAATTTTTTTCCTCATGAAATCACATGGCACAGGGAAGCTCACTCTGGGTCTGTTTATCCCTAGGGTAGCTATGGTTGAGCTTCAGGAGCTCCCTGAATCCCCTGGAATTATATGAAAACTTAGTTATGTGTGCACATTTTTCAGGGAAGAGCCCATTTATTTTTTAAAGAGGTTCATGCCCTAAGAAAGGGAATAAAAAATTAAAAAAAACAGTTGCCATTAAGTCGACTCCGACTCATTGCAACCCTATAGGATGGAGTTGAACTGCCCCATAGGGTTTCCCAGGAGTGGCTGGTGGATTCCAACTGCCAGCCTTTTGGTTAGCAGCTGCGCTCTTAACCACTGCACCACCAGGACTCCAAGAAAGGGAACGATACCTCTGAATTATTTGCATCTTAATGGGGGAAAATCCTTTCATTGAGCATTATATTCAGTGACTTTTTTCTTCTGTTGTACGTTCTTTACCTTCAGCAAATTGTCTTGGCGATTGACTTTGCTTCCTGGTGTCTCCATTAGAAGTGATTTCAAATGTCCTGAAAAGATATAATTACGTTTCAGAATTCCCTTAATAACTTAGGAATGATTGATTTTCTAATACTAACAAACATTTTATAACTTTAAACATTTTTCAGCATACTAATACCTACTCGGCTAGTCACTAGCCACTTACCCAAAATTGCTAGGCCATCGGTAACATCTTAGATCAAGTTGGGTGCCCAGCTGCTATTCCCACTGGTTCTTTGCCTGCAGCTCACCTTGTGTAGACATTTCCCACCACGGCCTCTGATCCTGTTCATTCACTTGCCACACGGTTATTGAGTACCTTCTGTGTGCAACAGATGGATTCTAAAGATAAAGATAATGGCATTGTTTTCACTTTCCAAAAGCTCTTAAGTCTGCTGGTTGTGGGTGTTCATATGAATTTCTGGACACAAGTGAGCTTTTGGGCATTTCCTCCAGGCCTCTTTCTGGTATCTTTTTAGCAGTTCAGTTTTAAAACATATTGAACACTTGCTGCATCCTCTTACTCCATTATTTCTTTTTTATTTTCTTCAAAAATACATATGAAAGCACTTCAGACACATTATTTATAAAAATATGTTAATCAACAAATATTTCTTGATGTCCTGTGTGTACAAGATATTTCCTAGATCAGTTGCTGAGAGGTATTAAAGAAAGAGTGAGGCACAGAATGTTTAGCCTAGTTGGGGAATCAGTCTTTACTTTCCACAGTTCAGTATATTGCCTTCTACTCACTGCGTAATGAACACTCATACGTGGATTCTTACAACTTTTATCTGTTGTTTGCTCCCCTGTGACAAGTATTCCAACTCAGGGCCCAAGGAGGCAGGGGCTGGGGGTCGGTCGACCTCACCCAGTCGGAGTGACACTAGACACTGGGGGGGCGTGTAATGTGTGTTGTTAGGAAGAGAAGAACTGGATGAGCTGTGGGCACCCAGCAAACCCCTTTCCATACCAGACGTGAGGAAATGAGAGGCTGGGTCAAGTGCTGGCAATGGAATTGGAAAGGACGGAGAGGCCATCGCTCCTTGGGACAGCCAATCCATGAGGTTTTGTTAACTAGTTGGTACATGCAGTTAGGAAAGGGAGAGGGTATGTGATTGATGCCTCTGACATTTCTGGGAGAACCAGGTTGTTGATGGTATCGTCAGATACCTCCCCCAGAGAATCCAGAGGATGTTGCTTTTCCAGTAGTGGCTTGATGATGTTGAGAAATAGATTGAGATTGGAGAGTCTGGCTCCACAAGTGCTTCACTGACTACATATACCTGAATATTTTTACACATTTTACCTGAATGATGATTGTAGAAGTGACTAGCAGCTTTAGCCGAAGGTCAGCATTTTCCTGGGAGAAGCAGGCTCTGTTGTAGTGCTCTGGGTGGGTAGTGGTGGGCTTGGTGCATCCTCTTTGCCTACTCATACTCCTCCTCATCCTGGTCAGCTCTGCTCTGTTCTCCCTTCTAAAACTCATCATTGCTGACACAGACTTCTTCACTGGAAACAAGTCCTTGGTGATGGTGGTGGTATTAGAATGTCAGAAGTTTCCATGACTGCCAACTGAAGGCTGTCATTACAGCATTTCCACAATAGTTTTGATTTGTTTGTTTTGGTGTAGACCATAGCCCAGTGGCGTAAAGCCGGGTACCAGGATATGCCTGAGTACGAAAACTTCAAGCACCTTCTGCAGGCACCACTGGACGACGCTCAAGAAATTCTCCAGGCGCGCTTCCCAATGCCGCGTTACATTAACACAGAGCATGGAGGCAGTCAGGTGAGCGAGCTGAGTTCTAGCTCTGGTGTTCTGTTTTTACGATGTGTTTTTATGGCTATAAATCTAAACAGTGTGGTTAATATATTATGTAGTAACATAATTGGATGCACAGGTAAACTTCAAATATGATTTCTTTTTAAATGAGTGGATAAAATATGTGATGTAAAAATGGGAATTTCCAAAATAAAATACATGTCATATTTCAGGAACTCCTGATAAATGAAGAGCATAGGTTCCTGTGCAGTGAAAAATTTGTAACTTAACCAAAAAAATGTAAAAAACTTTCCTTATTTTTTTCTATATATTAATAACTGTTTTAATCTTTAAATTTTTTTTTTTTTTAAGGCTCGATTCCTTTTGTCCAAAGTGAACCCATCTCAGACACACAATAACCTGTATGCCTGGGGACAGGTAAGAAATTGTCAGGTATTTGGGGAGGAGACCAGTCTACATTTGTAAAAATTTGGTTTTAAATACCAAAGTCCTTTTGGCCCTAGAGACAGAATAACTTGGTTTTTTTGCTGTAAAAAATACTTTGAATACCACCGTTGGGGAGCTCCCTGCATGGACTCCTGCCACGACAGGCAGTCTTATACACCAGGTTCAGGCCAGAGCACAGAATGCTGTCCTGTGGCCTCTGTTCAGTCTCCTTGTAGACACAGAGCGTCGCTGTAAGTCGTTTCCCTCTGCTTTCTCCCTCCCTAGACCGCAGTGCAGAAACAGCTCACCAGGCTCACCATTGGTTCTGCCTCCTCTTCATTCTCAGCCTTGTTGAAAGGCTGTCTTTCCTCCATTGAATTGCCACTACATCTTTGTCAAAGATCAGTTAGGCATGTATGTGTGGGTCCAGTTTTGGGTGCTGTGTTCATCTGTGTGTCTGTCCCTCCACCTGTGCCACACTGTCTTGAATACTGTAGCTATGTAGTAAGCCTTGAAATTGGGTAAACTGATTGCTCCCAGTTTATTTTTCTTTTACAAAATCAGTTTACCTATTCTAGTTCCTTTGTCTTTCCATATAAATTTTAGAATAATCTATAAAAAACCTTGCTGGACTTTTGACAGGAAGTGCATTAAACCTGTATATCAATTTGGGGAGCGTTGACATCTTTGAGCCTTTCAGTCCATGAACTCAGCGTGTCTCTCCATTTATTCAAATCTGCGTTAATTTCTTTCATCAGCACTGGGTAGCTTTTGCGTTTTTTTCGAGCAATTGTAAATGGTATTCTATTTTTAACTTCAGTGTCCAGGTGTTACCCAGCTTCTTGATTCTGTAAGTTTGTCTGTTGCCAAATTTGGAAAGTTTTCAGCCATTATTTCGTCTAATACTTTTTTCAGCCCCTCCCTCTTTCTCCTCTCTCTCCGGAATTCTGATGACACTAGTGATAGGTCTTTTGATCTAGTCCCACAGACCCCTGTGGCCCTCTTCTTCTTTTTTTTTTCCCCCAGTCTATTTTTCTCTTGTTCAGATTGGGAAATTTGTGTTGTTCTATTTTCCAGCTCACTGATTCTTTCTTCAGTCCCTTTCTTGCTGGTAAGCCCATCCACTAAGCTTTTTATTTTGGTTATTATATTTTTTAGTTCTAGATTTCCATTTAGTTCTTTGTTATATCCTCTGTTACTTTCCTGAGGCATGTTTATAATTGCTTGTTGAAGCATTTTTGTCATGCCTGCTTTAAAATCTTCAGATAACTGTAACATCTTTGTTGTCTCATTATTGGCATTTATTGATTGTCTTTTTCTATTTCATTTGAGATCTTCCTTGTTCTTGATATAACAAGTGATTTTCTATAGAAACCTGGATATTTTTGTATTTGTTATTAGACTCTAGATCTTACTTAAAGCTGCTGTTTTAGCTGGCTTTCTGTGACACTGCTCTGGCGGGGGAAAGGGGCTGTCACCTTGTTACTGCCAGGTGGAGGTATAAGTCCAGGTTTTCCACTTGACCTCTGTTGACACCAAGGTGGGGTAACTCCTTATTACAGCAGGGTGACGGTGAAGGTCCTGACTTTCCACTAGGCCTCCTCTGACACCACTCCAACAGGGACGGAGAGGAGCGACTCATTACTGCCAGGTGGGGCTGTGGAAATCCAGGGTCCCCACATGGTCTCCACTGACAGCATGGGGGTGGGGAGACTGGTCTTGACTCCCTCCGTGGTCTTCTCTGATACCGCCTTGGCAGTGGTGTTAGAGTACATCGTTACTGTCTTGCAAGTATGAAAATTAGGCTCCTCACTCAGCTTTTGCTGGTGTGGACATGGATGGGGGTGGGACTGCAGTTTTCTCTGACGCTTGGCTGGAGTACAGTGATTATTGCTAGGTTTCCCTGGTCCTTTGGATAGAGAGAGCAGGCTTCTAAAGAGAGCAGGCTTTTGTTTTGTCTGTGCTTGTTGACATTTCTGGGTTGCTGGCTTCTTCAGCACCAAGTCTGAGGTATATGAGGCAAAAAGAAAACCTAAGGAACTCACCACTGTGTCATTCCTTGGGTGATGAGGTCCCTAACCTGTCTGCCGTCTTCTCTCTGCCTTTCAGAGTCTTCTTATTTTTGTTTTCTATGTAATGTCTAGTGTTTTTACTTGTACTTAGCAGGAAGAACAGGGAAGAGTACATCTATCACACATCTTGGAAGCAGAAGTCCTCTGAGAACCTTTTAATATTGCTCACCTTTTCCTAATTATAGAAGTAATAGAGTTCCATTGTAAAAAATTGAATATGTAACAAAAGAATAAGAAAATTAAAGTTACCTATAATGCCACCATCCAAAGTTAAATACTTCTCGCTTTTTTTCCTAAGTAATGTAAAGTGTGTATATCATACATATATTTATTTCAGCTTTTTTTTTTTTAACAAATTTGGGAACTTCCTACAGCTGGAAGTTTCTGTTAATCTTTTTCCCTCAACATTAACTAAATCATAAGCATTTTCTGATATTACAAATATCCAGTGGATTTATTCAGTGGGAAGATGCTCATTCACTCCTTTGTGATTACACCGTTATCCATCACCTAAGGGTGCTGGCAAATGGGTGGGAAAGATGGTTGGCGGGTGTGAGGGCGTCAAGGAGCTCATCAAGCCTGATGGGGGGGAGCCTGATGCTGGATTAATGATCAGAACGGGAGAGTGCACAGGGGGCTGTTTAAAGTAGAAAGGCATATGCTACAAAACTAGGTGTGCAGTAGTGTGGGTGGCCTGATCTGGTCAGGAGGGGATCAGGGAAGGGTTTTGTTAGGAAATTACGCTTCACTTGAAAGAATTAATTAGTGAGGCAGGGTATGGATGGGAGAGCACTTATAACAGACAGGCCAGTACCTGTGAATGTTCTGAGGCAGAAAGGTCCTTAGCTCATGAATTCTCACCAGCTTTTAAGATACCTGCTAATGAACCTTTGCCATTAAATTTCAGGAAACTGGAGCACCCATCCTAACTGACGATGTTAGCCTGCAGGTGTTCATGGATCATTTGAAGAAACTGGCTGTCTCCAGTGCCTGTTAAGCTGAAGAGGTGGCCAGGAAATAGAGGCAAACAGCATCAGATTGTGTCCACAGTTGTTTATAAAGGCCTATAACATTCCTTTCACTTTTCTGGAAGATTTTAATAAATAATCAAAGGAAATTTTATATCTAACTCTTTAGATTGTAATTTATTTGTATTCCTTATCTGTGCCCCTTTTCTTGCACCATAAATGACAAGGTTATAAATGCTTTAGAACTTGTAGATGTTTATATGCTTTTTATATTCTAACTTTAGAGTCTGTGTAAAATCAGAGGTAATGTGTTTTGTCAACTTGCTTAGATAAAGGTCATAAAGGAAATAAGCCTGGATGAGGAAAGCACTGGATAAAGTAATGCTGATAATAATCAAACTTCATTTCCTGAGTCTCTGTGTAAGTCAGTGTGTTTTTAAGTGACTCCTCTAAGAGGTACTTCCTGAATTTAATCTTCATGTTCTGTCTAAAATGTTGGCAGACCCAGGAAAAGTATGACACATGAGAAACTTTACTGAGGCAGAGTGGTCTGGAGTGGCACTGGTCCTAACTCATGTGCTACATGCCACGTAGACGGAACAGCACAGTTATACGTAGAGTTGTTGGCAGTCATGAGTGGCTCTAACAGAGTGACAACACATTATCTTTGGGCATCAAGTAAAATCACTGGACAGGTACTTGTGTTTAATTAAACTCATATGTGCACAGTAAAAAATATTATCCTAAAGAGTTTATGACAACAGTTCCCTCCCCTCCCTAAGCTGAGACCTACTCTTCAGAACTAACCACTTGTAACTTTTCCTTAAATTTTTTTGTTGCTGTTGATACATCAATTTTAATCAATATCTCTCAATCCCCAGTTTAGTGGGATGAGGATATTAGTATCTTTCTGTCCACCATCCAGTTGGTCAGCTATACCTTCATATTACCAAGATTAATAAAATTTGAATTCTGGCCTATGACCATATGCCTTTGTCTCTGAGATGCTTCTGAAAGTTGAAAGCTAATTAAGAGCATTTACACAGGTATGTTAATGTAAATATTGTTCATAGTAGAGTCAGGTGTTATTTATTTTCTCCAGGGGTTCTGGTATCACAGTCCCTTTGCTACATGAAGGAAAACTGTCCAAATGACAAAATTAGAGTCACGTTTCTTATATTCCATCATGCTATATTTTGGTTTGCTTTCTATTTAGATTATGACTTACTATATTTGCTGCTGTTTTCGTAGAGTTTCTAATATTTGCTGCTTTTTGTTTGTGTGCATGTGCAAATATACACAGCAAAACCCACTCCTGTTCCACAGTTTATTCTAGACACAATGATCAGTGACATTGGTTAAATTCTTTACATTGTGTCAGCATTCTCGTTATTTCTGTTCTAGTTGTTTCACTTCCATTTACTTAATCTCCTTGCCCCCCCAATTTTTTCCTTTTTACTTCTCATCTATGCTTTAAGATAGCTGTTGAGGCAGCGCGGAGCCAACATGGCACCCTAGACAGAAGCACCGTGCCATCCCTCTGCAGCGAAGACCCGAAAAACAGTAAAACGGATACAAATGTCAGTCCTGGAACCCTAAGCATCAAGTGAAGGGATAAAGAACTAGATCAAACACCAAATGGAAGAAGAAACTGAAGGAAAACAGAACGAGGAGAGATATGGAGTGGAGGTCCCCTGCCAACTAACACAGCACAGCATCACCATCTTGGAGCACAGCCATCAACATCCCAGGACTGGGAGTATGGGATGGCAACCTCATGGAACTCTCAGTGGGAGACAGCACCCAGTAACCAGAGGGATACACTTTCCCACCCCTCATCCTTCTGACCTGTACACCTCCTCCACCCCTCGCGACGGCCTACGCTCAGCCACCTTGTCTAGAAAGCTACCAGCCCACTGCTAACCTGGGTCCGCCCCACGCCACCCATCAGTTCCTGCCACGCCATTTTTTTCCTTTTCTCTCTCCCTCCCACCTACCCCATACCTCACTTCTACCCTTGCCCACAGGGCTATGCGGTGCTGCCTTGGCTAGAGAGGCATCGGCCTAACACCAGCCCGGGTCTGCCCAGCCCCCAACCACCAGCTCCTGGTGCCTTTTTTTCCGCTTCTCATTTCTCCCTCCCACCTAGCCCCATACACCACCTCTACCCCTTCCCACCGAGCCATGCCATACCACTGAGGGTAGAGAGCTAAGGGTCCAGCCCAGGTCCTTCCCACCCCTACCCACCAGCTCCCTCTGTGCCATTTTTTTTCATCTTTCCTCCTTTCTCCTTCCCACCTAGCCCTCTACCCCTTCTCATGGGGCCACACAGTGCCACTTTGATTAGAGAGACACGGGGTATCCCCACCCCTACCTGCTGTTTCATTATATTTTTATTTTTGTTCTATTTATTTTTTCCCTTCCTATTTTTCTTTATCCCTCCCGCCTAGCCCCATAGCCCACCTCAACCCGTTCCTCGGGCCACGCCACGCTGCTTTGGCCCACCTCCACCCTGGTTCCACCCTGCCCCCATCCAACAGCTCCTGCCACACCATTTTCTATCTCTTTGTTCCCCCCACCTACCCCTGTATCCATCCCACCCTTCCTGCTGGCCCTCGTTGGGCTGGTGCAGCTAGAGCATTCCCATCTCAGGCCTGCCACCACGCTGGGCCTGCACTGCCCCTCCCCTCTGGCCACTCAATCAGCTGCTGAACAGAGGGAAGCTAGGCCATACCACTCCCCCTCTAACAACCCCACCTATCTGGTGAGGGGTTGGGAACGTTCCCACGCAGCTGGACCAACATGAGGAGGCAGACAGCACCTGCCCAGTCTGCCCTCAGCCACCTCTCCAAACCAGTGTATAGCAAAGTAGGTTCACCTTGCCTGCTACTGCCCTGCCCACCCAGACAAAGTGGTGACAGCTGTCATGCCCACAGACCAGGAAGCAGCAAAGCACACCTGGACCATCCACCATGACATGTCAAAACAAAACAAAGAAGCAGGACTAAACAAAGTAACATACAACCAATAGACGAATAAAATAATACCTTAACATCTCAGAGACAGTAGATAATATCAAAACATACAAAGCAGGACAAGATGGCTCCAGTGAGTGACCAAAACAGAATCAGATGACATTATGGTAGAAGAAAAGGCAGTGGAACTACCTGATATGGAATTCAAAAGACTTAATATTTAGGGCTCTCCAAGAGATTAGGAAAGAGATCAAGGAAAACACAAGACAAAGCCAAGGAAAAATAGACAAAATCATGGGAAACACAGACAAAACCAACAAAACATAGCCCAAATGAAGGAAAACAGACAAAGCAATAGAAGAATTCAGAAAAATACAACAAAACATCAGAAAAAACAATTAGAAATATAAAAACAACTAAAAATCCAAAAGATAACAAAATTTCAGAAATGGACAACTCAGTAGAAGGTTTTAGGAGCAAATTTGAAGCAATGGAAGACAGAGTCAGTGAGATTGAAGACAAACCCATGGATGCCACTTTGAGGGAAAATCAGAGAGAAGAATGAAGAAAACCTAAGAATTATGTGGGACAAAATCAAGAGCAAAAATTTGGGCATGAATGGAGTTCCAGAACAGGGAGAAAATGGAAAACACAGAGATTGTTGGCAGAAAACAGCCCAGATACCATGAAAGATGAAAAGCTGACCAAGATGCTCAATGAAACCCGTATAGGGTAGACCCCAAGAGAAAGTCACCAAGGCATATCATAATCACACTTGCCAAAACAAAGGACAAAGAAATCCTAACACCAGCTCGAGAAAAATGAAAAGTCACTTACAAAGGGGAAACAGTAACACTAAGTTCTGATTTACTCAGCAGAAACTATGCAGGCAAGAAGGCAATAGGATGACATATATAAAACCTTGAAAGAAAAAAACTGCCAACCAAGAATAACATATCCTGCAAAACTCTCTCTCCAATACGATGGTGAAATTAGGGCATTTCCAAGTAAACAGAAATTAAGGGAATTTGTAAAACAAAACCAAACTTACAAGAAATTTTAAAGGGAGTCCTTTGGGTAGAGAACCAACATCAGACAACAACCAGCATCTAGGACACAGGACGGCATCAGCCAAATGCCAACGTAGGTAAAGAACTCTCAATAATAAAACAGCTAAAAGATGTAAAACAGGGAAACAGACGTCAACCTGTAAATGACAATGTGAAAACAGTAAAAGGGGAAATAAATGGTGTAGGTATAGTACTTTCAAATCAAAAAGAAGTCAAGGCAGTATCAAGTAATAAAAGACTGGTACAAACTTAGGAAGATAAGAGTAAATTTCAAGGTAACCACAAAGACAGTTAACAAACCTACTAAGCAATAAAAAAGAAGAAAAACAAAGTCTCAGTAAACACAAAATCTGTAAGAATGAAAGAAAAAAGAAAATCCACAAACAAAAGGAACTCAGCACAGGAAGGAAAGTAAGAGGAACAAAGAAAACATCAGCACCACAAAAAAAAAAAAAAAAAAAAGCACAATATAAGTGCAATAAAATCATACCTATCGATAAACATACTGAATGTAAATGGCTTAGGGGCACCTCTAAAGAGACAGAGAGTGGCAGAATGGATTAAAAAAGCATGACCCATCAATATACTGTCTGTAAGAGACACACCTTAGACACAAAGACAAATATATTAAAAGTCAAAGGATGGAAAAGAATATATCAAGCAAATAGTAAGCAAAAAAGGGCATGAGTAGCAATACTAATCTCATATGAAATAGATTTTAAGGCAAAAATCAACTATGAAAAACAAGGAAGGACATTATATAATGATTAAAGGGACAATCCACCAAGAAGACATAACCTTAATATCTACGCAGCCAACAACAGGGCTCCTATTAAATACATTTAAAAAAAAAAAACTGACAGCACTGAGAAGAGAAATAGTTCCATAATAATAGGTGGAGACTTCAATACACCACTGTGTTGTTAGTAAAGGACAGGACATCTGGAAAGAAACAACAAAGATACAGAAGAACTAAAGGCCACAATCAACCAACTTGGCTCATAGACATATATACAGCACTTCACCCAGCAGCAGCTAAGTATATATTCTTTTCCAATGCACATGGAACATTCTCCAGAATAGACCACCTCTTAGGCCAAAAAACAACCCTCAATAAAATCCAAAACATCGAAATAATGCAAAGCATTCTGTCTGAACATCACACCATGAAAGTAGAAATCAGTAACATGAAGAGCAAAATCAAGTACATAGTTTTATGGATTGAATTGTGTTGCCCAAAAATGTGTGTCAATTTGGCTAGGTCACAATTCCCAGTATTGTGTGACTGTCCATTATTTTTTCATCTGATGTGATTTTCCTGTGTGTTGTAAATCCTACCTCTGTGATGTTAATGAGGCAGTATTAGA